TGTCTAGAACATTTCTTTCTCCCATGATTTGATAAATGGAATGTGGTTTCTACCACTCTCTGGAACAAAGCAGGCGTTTTACATGCAAAACCTAGTAAACGAGGCCTGAAATTGTGGAAGCAACCTCTTTTTTCGAAGAATACTAGGTTTCCACTACCTACGAAGAAACTTATGGTGTTACGACGTGCATTCGTAGACACCTAGCATTACTAATTACAGATTTTCGTGGTGGTGATTTTAGCAGTTACAAGGTACACGATCGCATGAGAGGCCACGTAACTGAACTAGAGCGTATGTGGTTAGGGTTGACGTAAGTCACTTGCGAAACGTCAACAGGGGTATTAAGGGTTCCTTTTGACGAATCACTTTCAAACTACCGCCTACTGCTCCTAAATAAGTGGCATGGTGAAACGTCTGTGCCAGCAATTGAAAGCTGGTTAATTACATCACAGTGACACATCATGTTGGACGAATGCGTTGTTCTTTGTGGCACTCGGTATTCGGAACAAGATTCCAACCATCGTAGTCGAACTCATGCAACGACGCGCTGAGCAGACTGATATTTACTCAACCTCGTTCACTCACCACTCCTTCCTGCATCCCGAAAACACTGTCCTCTTGCACCCACGTCTTCACCAGGCACGATGCTATCCGCAATCCGCTTTGACCCACCAAGAATAGACCTTTTAGAGTACTCAGACGAGAAGAGAAGCTTTTCATCGTCGAAGGCGACAGAAGAGATATCGCCGTATTTTCAAACCACCTCAAACCAGCTTTTCTCAACGCGGAAACGCTGCTTCACACAGACACCCGTTCCTTCCGATGGTAACGAGACCATTTTTACTACACGCGTTCATTGGCTCGATCGTTACACCGCTTGAAGAGGTAGGTGGTAGGACCACCTTTTCGGATTCTTGACCCGACCATTTGGCTCGGCCTTATAGCATTTTCCGAGTGTTGTCTGATATAACACCCGTTCGTCTATCAGTCTGAGTTCCCGCCTGGGTTGTCCCAGTTTGTACCTTATCTCGCTCGGCCCACATTGGTTCTCCAATCTCAACCGATCTCTCACAACTCCGAGTCAGGCTTCAAGAATTCTCAGCACAAACCTTTACGCGAGATAGTTGACATCGACGGTACCAGCATTCCGTATAAGCACATTTCACACTACCTTGACATCACTACTCACACCCAAGTCACACCAAACCCCTAACACACTAGGCCTACCCTCCAAGATTTCAACATTCCCCATGAAAACCCAATTAACACTAACACCTTCGACTTGAATTCCTTCTGCACTATCTACACAATCACGCCTCTACCGTCACGCACATCGACGCTCACATTAACAACTCATTACCCAGTGCTAATTACTCAACTCATCCACCGCAGACCACGCGGGCATTCAGAAGTGGTCGCAGCACCGCCACACACTCCAAATTTCGCCCCACTGACCCCTCGGTTGAGACGGTCAAGTTCTCTGTACGACCTCGTGCCTTGTATTCTTCGATTAAGCCATTAACGTGCCGAACAAGGAACCAACTACTCACTTTCTACCCACCTGACACTCACACGAACGCCAGACAGACACAACCTCCATTGCTGTTTGGAATGTTTACTAAAAGGCACATATGTACGCAACAAAAAATAAGACAAAAAGTGGTCCACTAGCAAAGGCTACAAAAAATAGGGATATGCATTTGGGTAGTGATCAAAAGACACGGCTGAGAACCTAGGGAGAACCCGATTCGTGGGGTTGGCGTCTTGTCTGCACGGCAGATTCCGAAAGCACACTGGCAGTGCTATTCACTACAAAAAACAACAACTCATTAAACACTTGTAATACAAAGCGACCGACGTCTGGGCACCCAGTCACAATCCAGTGTCCTTAACTCGACCGACACAGACAGATTGTGCAAACCAACTTATCAACCTTTCTCAACTTTCGTACTGATCTTTTCCCTAGCAATCTTTACAAGTCTGCAATCCCGATGGTCAATCACGTTGGTGATTCCCTTAACACGATGCACAATAGCCGAGTACACTTACACATCGCAGTGAGTTCTTCGACGGTGTTGATCACTCGACTACAACGCTGCTGACACGAACAGCTGCTGCTTGTCGTGACCGTGGGCTTGCGGGCCGTAGCTCCACCGGATGACCGCGACCGGCAGCTGTTTGACGCGGAGTCCCCCTGGTGTGATTGGCGTGGAGAATTCAACCTGCCAGGACCTAGTAGACGAAGTGCCTCTCGCAGATCACTCACCACACACGACAGAACCTCGTCACCCTGAAATGTGCACGTCCACAAGTTACCAATGGCCTCTTTACCACCGCGTTGCCGTGTGCATGCATGTCCCCAGCTCGACATAGACACTCCTGCATAATACGACATCAAGTAAACATCACTACTCACTCCCTTCTGCTCCAGTAATGCCGATACACACTTCACTGTCCGGCTGATGATTGCTCTGGCTCGTCGGTGGTCCGATGATCCGCATTCCGCTCCCACCATCACGCCCGAACCTGCATCAACTAATGGAATGACAAGAAGAAACTCAGAACCGGCACTTCCACACGTGGATACGCATCTACCGTGACAGAATCAGGGACAGACCCACAGTCTACACGACTTGCAGTTAGCGTCTGGGTAACTGCGAGGTACACTGCGACTGATCCCTCCCAAGCATTAACAAACACCACTACCTGACACCAAGTAAGTACAACGACTCCACTCGCACATTAGAATGCAACAAAACAACCGTGAACCACACTCACCGTTGCCGCTCGCTGCCTCTGGCTTTGTCAGTTCCTGCATCAGTGCAAAGCAAAGAGACGAAAGCTCCCTGGCACACCGACTTATGTGCTCCTGCAGATCCCCGATGGCCTACAACGTAAACACCAGAACCACTGCAAATAGCCTCGACTTGGGTGCTAACCTGCACACCGTCCACAACTACTACCACAGTTGACTGAGAAACCGCCTAAGGCCAACTCTGCTCTTGCGTGCCACCACGCCGCTCACTTACACCTGGGTTCGGTGTGAGAGACTTCTTACGTGGTGCAACGCCCACTGCAACGGACGAGACACCGCGTTCACTGCACCGGTAACTACTCTGGCGGGAAAGCGACGACGCAGAAACCGACAACGAGCCGCCATCTGACGTCACCGAGAGGGTGTCATTCACGTCCTGCGTGTTCGTCAGTGCACCGTCGTCGGCGTCAAGGGAATAGGTGGCATCCTCCGCCATCACTGAGGCCTGACGCTGGGACTCCAGGCACTTTGACAGCTCACGAATAGTCACCTCGATGCTCGTCACCAGTGAACTCACACCGCCAACACTAAACAATTGCCAAAACAGATTAACCGTCGGGCAAGAAGGATGGCCAAGCAGGAACTACACATAAAACCATCGCACAACCGCGAGGCTAATGTCAGTACACAAACCAGTGTGAGTTTCACTTACCCACCAGGCATTGATTGTTGTTTCCAACAAGGGGGCACCGACATGAGTTTCCCAGACACACACCGAACCTCCTGTGGAACGCTGGCTTTCACATCGTGCAGTTGGGTGGCACTGGTAACAACTGTATTCAAGGTTGCACCAGGCTCTGCTGCAGTACCAACCGCCACACCAACACACTCCTCCCCCTCCTCCTTCTCCTTTCCCTCCACAACTTCTTCACCAACACCCAAGTCGACCTCGGCACGGCCCAAGACATCCGGGGCCACTTCGTGTCCACAATCTTTGCAACTCCACTCTACGGAGCGTCTAGGAGCAAACCACAATACACACGGCCTCAGCTTTGCCACACGCCCCACACCTTACCACCCCAACCCAACTCACAACATAACCCCTCCACAAACCACACCAACTACCACCCCACACCCACACATGACACCACAGCCACACTCCAGGTGCATAATGAAACACACAACAAATGCCAAGGTGACTCACGGACGTCTTGGAGACTTGCGGGTTTCAGGTGGCGCGTCGTAGTCACACGGCCTCGCGCCAACATGACGAACAGGCAGCGAACGTGCTACCGCCTCCAGCTTCTTAATGGCACCCTTCTTCTCCACTATCTACAATACCCAAGCACAATAACAACACATTAAATCTGACCACGCCGTGTTTACCTCGACTGACCACGTGTTCACCGCCCAAACAGACAACGCACACTACCTCTACCACGACATTTCCACCGCTTGCCAACACAAACAATCTCATCACAACAAAGCACTCACCTGTCTACGCAGTCGCTCCAACTCCTCAAGGAACCCCTTGGCGCGCCTTTCGTTCTCGTGAACAATTCGTCTCAGGCGTCTATTCTCCTTCATGCTGCTTTCCAGCAATCTACAAACCAACAAAACTAATCAACAGACCCACACTCTTCCTTCTCCTTCTACAACCACTCCACACCACCATCACCACCGTAAGCACGGTTACCCGAACAAGGGGCCTGCCTCCCTACACCCCATATTGAAGTGACACACTCGGTTCCAAGTTTCCCTTACATTGCAACTCTCTCCACAATACAACCCACAAACCTCACAATGCCCCTTTAAGTGTCACATTCCGCTCCCGACCACTAACACACTTGCACTACTACTACTGCACCGCCATCGACAAACCCACCTTATTCTAAGCACACCACAAACAACCTCGTCTTCATTCCAACACAACAACAACAACTTACTCAGCTCGTTTGCGCAGTCGCGACTTCAGGTCAAAGGCAATGGCTTTCAGCTCAGGATATTTCCGAGCCTTCTCCTCCATTTCCGAGGCAGATGAGCGCCTCGTGTTCCGGCCCTCCTCCGCACCCTCGGCCTCCTCCCGCTCTACCATTCGACGGTTCAAACTCTCGAGCTCAACTTGGGTTTCAGCCGCCGTCATGCGCACAGCCACGAGGTCACTCTCCAGACCCAATATCTTCACGTCTTTCGCCTCCATCTCATCCACCAACTCCGCTTCTCGCGCGACAAGACGCTCGCACCTCTCTGCCGCTGTCAATAACAAACATCTACTCAAACAACTCTCCACCAACTACTTCTCACACACCTCACTCCAATCACACTTAAGTCATCAAACTTACGCCTCTCCACACCAACAAACAACTCAACCTCACATGACTACATCAAACACCATCACACCAGATTCCACAACATCCCCACGCCACCCTCTGTTGTGCTGCATGCACGCATCGCTCTGATCACATTGCAAACTATAAATAACCACGTCTCGCATACCAGCAACATGCCTCGATTCAGCTGCTTCCAACAGTGCCGCATACTTCGCCTCAACATCCCGCATAGTCTTCTCGTACGCCTGAAATGGCAAAAGCAAAAAACAAATACAACAATCAAAACAACTAGCAACACCACATTCCCCTTCCGTCCCAACGCCACCATTTCACCAACTCGATCTCCTACCGCCACACCACCGCCAACGCTACTTCCAAATGAACTCCAACACAACTCCATCCAATCAAGTACACACCCACAGCCAGCACCGTCAATCTCAGTCGAGTTAACTCAGGTGCCAAAATCAATTCCACCACTACCACCACCACCCCAATCGAAACAACGCACACACATAGGCACACTCATGGACACAACTCACCATCACTCTTTCATTCAACCGACCCTCCAATTGCGCTTTCTGCTCAACCAGCTTCGCTTCATACACCGCTGTCACGCGCTCCACTCTGCCTTCTTCCTCCGCCTTCTTCTGCGCCTCCAGTTCACCAAGCCTCGACTCTGCCGCTTTGAAGTCACCCAATAGAGACTCCAACACCTCCACACTCGCCATCACCATCACTTCTTGCTCCAAACAATCCCTCCAACCTGTCGACATTTCACCAGCGACAACGGCCGCCCGATTCTTCGCGCCAGCAAGCCGTTCGGCGAAGGCGCGACTGCGAGATGCCACCTCTGCTAGGTCTTGCAGATGACGCGAAACGGTGCCCTCTGACTCACTCAAACGCCTCCGCAGCCCCAATACGTCCGCCCGACTCGCCTCCAGCTCCGCCGACACGCTCGCCATCTTCTCCGTCGTCTCGGTCAGGCACACCTAACAACACAAACAACATCAAAACCATCAACTATGTCCACTCAAACCGCGGCCACATTACAGACGCTTTCTGCAAATCTACCATCCACCAACGGCCTCAACCACACCCATCACCCTCCACCACCTCCGACCACGCCACAACAACCTCTTAAAACACTTTACTACATCACTCCGTCCAATTACCTCAACTCACCCCAGGCACCTTCTAC